CTACGGACAATTATCGGATCTCCCCCAAAAAAAACGAAAGCGAAAGAACTCGGTAGAAAAAAGCGCGCGCCGCAATCGTCGTCTTCACAATTGCAAAGGCGAAGTCCAAACCGCGACTGAAGTTATTTTGATAAAGCCTGGAACGTTATACGACGACGACGACCACACACACATAAATCCCTACTACTATTACTTAGCACGAGTCGTGTACACAGGAAAAAAACATTAGCGAACACACGAAAACAACATGTTCTTCATTTACCTGCAATTTAAAAGTCTTATTTAATACAGTGAAATATTATCCGGGTCTCAATTTACTTTAGTACGGATTAACCGTGGTCGCGGCCGTCTTAGTATTTTATAAACTAAACAATTTAAATTCGAACGTTTAGTAAATAATTTTGCAAGGAAAAGAATCAGAAATTACAGCTTGTCTTTTAAAATAATGAAAATTTTTGTGTTATTACCGATGATGTAATTTGCTTTTGATAGAAGAAAAAAAACTAATACGTTATGTTTTCTACCCTATCGACCTGTTAGTTCGGACGAGTTTCCATGTTCAATTAGCATAAAGTGTACTTTGACAATGAAAATAACAATGATTAGTAATTGTTTAATTGTTTGATATTTCGAAGAAACCAACAACAATAATAATTAATGGTAAATCAAATGGAACATTCTGTAATCACTTAACTCGTTTTCTTTTTTCAAAATTTAGCATTGGAAAAGGTATTCATTTAAATGTAAACTCATAGTTTTATGTTAAAAAATTGAATAAATATAAAGCTATAATTCTGTTAGAAAAAATATAAAAAAAATTGAATAGTTAATAATAAAAAATATTAATTGACAAATTTGTGCGAATTGATACAGTTTAAAAATTTCAAAAGAAACTAAGTTTTTATTGAGTTATTCCAAAATATATCAATAATAAAACTTTTAATTACTAAATGATTAATTATCTCTCAAATTCAAAGTAATGATTAACTATATTGCGCTGTAAACTAGGTATTTTTAGAAAACATACATTGATAAACATAATCATAAATCAAAGTAAAAGTAAAAATAAAAATAATGTTGCTGTATGCAAATGCTTCTAATTTTTCAAAATTTCTATCTAGAAAAACTAAGAATTTAGATGAATTTAAATACTATTTAATAACTCCTAGTTTTTGTCTTGAGTATTTAAAGATTTCAAAGGCTTTTTTATAATCGCTTTACAAAAAAAAATAAGGAATTTCATCGTCATAAAAGAATTGTTGAAGATTATAGTAATTAATGATTTTATAGATTATTGATGAATTTGAGAGGTTTTAAAGTAATGAATAACTTATAAGTTAGAAACTAGACGAGTATATTTAGAAATTACAAATTGACAAACATAATTACATTTTATTATCATTCTACTACGCAAATTATTAAAATAGCAAAAAATATTACGTTCTTTAGATGATAGATGAAATCCTTAAGAATATCAAAGACTAATTTTGCAATGTCTTATGAACGAGTGATTAATTAGATAGATCGCAAAATTGTGAATACAACATAAAATTGTTGTGAGTTCTTTGAGAGTTTCGCGAAATATAGAGATTGGCAAACATAGTTGTAGATCAAACGCAAAATTCTCTCATCGTCCTAAGCAAATAATTTGAGTTTTTAATTAGTTTCCAGAAAAACTCTGTTCAAACTGAACAATAAACATAGGATTTTTCTAAAATCATATATAGAAATTATTTCATATAAAAAATAATATAAAAGTGAGAAAAGATTATAAAAGTTACTAACTGAATAACTTCCAAATCAATCAACAAAGAATTTTAAATGAATTGAAAAATTGAATAAATGTTTGATCGAAATTAGTTGAAAATGTTCAAATTTAAATAAAATAATTAAATAAGCTTGAATAATTTTCTAAATTCATTTTTTTTAGGTTAGTGATTAAGTTAGGTTTGTGATTAAGTTAGGTTAGGGATTAGGTTACGTTGGTGATTATGTTAGGTTAGGGATTAGGTTAAGTTATAGATTAGGTTAGGTTAGGGATTATATTAGATTAGGTTATGGATTAAGTTAGGTTAGGGATTAGGTTAGGTTTGTGATTATGTTAGGTTGGGGATTAGGTTAGGTTATGGATTAGGTTCGGTCAGGGATTAAGTTAGGTTAGGGATTAGGTTAGGTTAGGTAAGGTTAGGGATTAGGTTAAGTTAGAGATTAGGTTAGGTTAGGGATTAGGTTTGTTTAGAGATTAGGTTAGAGATTTGGTTAAAAAATAGGTTAGTTAGGTTATATATTAGGTTAGTGATTAAGTTAGGTTAGGGAATAGGTTAGGTTTGTGATTATGTTAGGTTGGGGATTAGGTTAGGTTATGGATTAGGTTCGGTCAGGGATTAAGTTAGGTTAGGGATTAGGTTAGGTTAGGTAAGGTTAGGGATTAGGTTAAGTTAGAGATTAGGTTAGGTTAGGGATTAGGTTTGGTTAGAGATTAGGTTAGGGATTTGGTTAAAAATTAGGTTAGTTAGGTTATATATTAGGTTAGTGATTAAGTTAGGTTAGGGAATTTTATATAAAACATTAAGTTTTTTTCTAAAACAATTGTTTTTAATAATTTTCACTTGACACTAGATTTACTTGTTAATAACGTCATGTTAAATCTATAAAAAGATATTGTAAATTATTTGTTTCTTCTTTAAAAGCTATGATAGATTGCTACAAACTTATGGAAATTAAGTTAATCAAAATATAAATAATTAATTAAAAAGATCAATATAAAAAGAGTTTTAGTGTGTAGCTTTAACAAATTTACCTATGGTTCTCTCAATTAAGTGTGAACTTAACAAACAAGAAAATCAAAAACCATAAGATACAATGAAAAAATTTCTTCGACAAAAATACATTTTCATTAACGAACATTTCCATTACGTTATTAGCACACATTCCTAATTCCCCCATTTCTTATTTCTTCGCTTTGCGTTTCTCTCATCCATCAGAGAAGAGCATATGCTCTGTGTATTATTTTATTTCCTAGATACACACGCACTTTTATTTATAGATTCCACAAGTTTGCATATGCCAAAATATAATTTTGAAATACGCGCGTTCTGTTTACTTTTCCGAATATTTTCACCAGTTAAAAAAAAAACTGAACCATTTCACTACCATCTCACAATCACAATTATCTGTTTTTTTATAATAATTATTATATAATCACGTTTATTTTTCTATTTTTTTTTTGCGAGAAACGTAAAACCTGTTATGAATTATTACTCGATACCGAAATGCTACAGCTGCGCGCATTAAATTTTTCTTTCTCCGTTAGTGGATTCGGTGAAACGTATAATAAATAACTTGAGGTTTTAGATTTATTTTCGTACGACTCGGATATTTAGCAAATGTATTAACTAAACACATGTACATTTATTTTACCAATCAAATACGCGAGTTGCTGACGTGCTCAAAACATTTCTTTCTACGTTTTTTTTTTTTGAAACGAATGTTGAATGGATAATCTGCTGGTGAAAAGAAGATCAAAGTTACAATTTGTTCGAATGTCTTGGGATTGTTAGAATTGGTAATTTGCAAACGTTTTCAAAATACAAATATTTATAGTGAAAATGTAATATTTTTAGTTGCAAAAATATAAACAATTTTTGGAAAATTGATGTGTAGGTATGAATCAAATATTTGAGTGCAACTTACTTGTATCTTTGGCAGAAGTTCAATAAAATTTTTACAAATTTCGAGAATGTAATGAATTGATCGAACGAAATTTATACTTAGAAAACATTCAGTTTTCTTAGTTAAATAATATTGATCAAATCTTAAAGATAGATCCAATGATTTGAAATGTATTATTTACTACAAAAATGTACTGAAATTACTCAACAATACATGGAAAATCTTTTAAAATTTGTCAAATATTTGTAAAAATATGATTTTTTCTTCAAAATTTTTATAAAAAAAGTTAGGGATTAGGTTAGGTATTTGGTTATGTATTGGGTTAGGTATTGAGTTAGGTATTAGGTTAGGTTTTAAAATTTGTCAAAGATTTGTAAAAATATGATTTTTCCTTAATTTTTTTTATAAAATAGTTAGGCATTAAGTTAGGTTAGGTACTAGGTTGGGTATTAGGTTAGGTATTAGGTTAGGTATTAGGTTGGGTATTAGGTTAGGTATTTGGTTTGGTATTGTGTTAGGTATTAGGTTAGGTTTTAAAAATTGTCAAATATTTGTAAAAATATGATTTTTTCTTCAACATTTTTATAAAAAAGTTAGGCATTAAGTTAGGTTAGGGATTAGGTTAGGAATTAGGTTAGGTATTAGGTTAGGTATTTGGTTTGGTATTAGGTTATGTATTGGGTTAGGTATTAGATTAGGTTTTAAAATTTGTCAAATATTTGTAAAAATATGATTTTTTCTTTAAAATTTGTATAAAAAAGTTTTGGAAAAAATTATGTACAAACAATTATTTGTTAACACTTTTCTCAAAAGTGGTTTGGTTATTGATGGCATTTTATAATGGTCTCACTAATACGAAACCAAAATAAGAAAAATGAAAAACAAAGAAGTCCCATTAACATCAATTTGTGTGTCTCTACTTTGATTTCGCACAAATGCTATAAAGAAATTTGTTCTCATTTTACAAAATATTGAGAATCAAATGTACTAGTTTTTAAATGATTTTAAACAATTAAAGGATGTAAAATAACAAATTGTTAAAAGATTCGTTGAAATTTATATTAGTTTACGAAAACTATAAGTATAAAAATGGTTTTGAAAACAGATTCGTTAAGTAACAATTTGTTAAATGATCCGTTAAACCATTCAGTGCACAAATTTGTGTAGTATTGTGTAAATTGTTTTTGAGGAGAGATACGTTAGGTAACAAAGTGTTAAATGGTTCGTTAATTTTAACTTTTTTTTGTAAATAATGAATTTTATGGATTATTAGAAAATTTTAATTAAAGGATGGGAAAAAGTGTGAGGTATTAAATATGATAATACGGTTTATCTTGATCATCGTAGTAATCTTTTAATGACCGTTAAATTTAGACAAATTTATATATTGAAGGTAAACTATTGCACCGCCCTCTGTGTATTAGAAGTTGTGCTCAACATAGGTGTGTGATGGTCGGCAAGCAAACAAGAGATGTCGCTCATCCAAGCTTAATTTGAATTATACATCCAGTACACTTACAGTAAAGCCGATATCAATTTAATAAATTAAGAGTATATTTGTTCTAAGACCTTAATTAACTCTATTCGCTCATAAAGCTGAGCAGTTTATTAAGCACGTCCATCGTCTGGTCGTCGTCCAAAACCAAATCGAATTTGTCCATGTACGATGGTAGATTATCCTCGATCTAACAAATAAATAAACGATTCATATACAATGAAGGTGAAGGTGAATCAAGGTTTAGAATCTCACGTGTTCGAAGATGAAACCAATCTTAAGTACGGCTTGCACGTTGGGCATTCCTTCAGCCATGTTAGCATCACCCTGCGAATCCCCCAGAAGGATGATGTTCACCCTGTCGCTGATAACGTGGTAATAATCGGAGCCGACTATAGCCGTCTCGTTCTTGTTGAAAACGTTAATCATCTTATCGGAAAATCCTTGGATGACGCCTTGATCGTCGCGTTTCAGGAAGTTCGAAATGATCTATAACGAGATATGTATATTAATCGTCGTTCAACACGAGACGAGAATGTATTTGCATGCTTTACCTTCACATTAGGCAGGTTGACTTTGAAATGGTCCAAGACTGCGACGACTGCGTTTCCTAATCCCGCAGAAAACACGAGCACGGGAACATTCATTTTATCTAATTTAACAATAGCGTCCCGAGTTCCATCCCTTAAGCAAATACCAAATTAAATACGCATATTGTAGAAGCTTGTGCAAGTTTACCTGAGGGCAGGTGCAAAATTCCTGACAGCTTCCTCAATGTCATCGTCAGTCACATTAACACCCCTAAGTTAATCAAATTAGTTTATTGATTCTCATCGTTGATATGTGTTAATTACTTGAGTATCTCTTCAGATTGCGCCCACCACTCCTCCATGTACTTGGTCTTCTCCGGCAAGGGCATCTTTGGATCATTCTCGATGGGCAAGTACTTGTCCTTAAGGGTTTTCTCCTGGACTTTGTATGATTCAGGCAGGGAGTCGCAGCAGGCGAAAATACCTGTGAAAAACATGCATTTGCAGGTTATGGTGTTTTGAAGAAGGATTTTAGAGGAAGAACTCACCGAAACTGCTGAGATGCGATTTGCCATTCTCGTGCTGTTTTGTTATGGTCCTGTCAAAGTCAGAGACTACTTGTAGTTTTTCCTTGCCACCGGACACGATAGCTCCGATCAGTCTGTTGACGTTCTCCTCATCCTTGATGTGGATCTTATCCCCGCTCAAAGCTTTCAGCTCTCTCACGTAATCGCGTTTCATTGTGTTTTGATGCTTTCTAACTGCTGCTGCTGTGGAACGTAACGTGCGTTTCGCGCTGTCCACTCGGCGGGAGCGCGACGAATATACAAATACGCTACAAATACTTTTCAATTTATATATTAACTCGGATACGACATCTCGCGGGAATCACCGTCGAATACCGGACGCGCGCGGAAAAAATACGAAAAAAAAATGTACGCGCGTATTGTTCGATTAGATTACATTATTGCGGAGATATCGAGCCGAGGATGGGCATTGTTTTAAATATTTGTATCAATAGATTTACAGTCATCACAATTTCCCCCCAAAAAAACAATGCATCAATTAATTTAATTCATTAAATTGAACCCTTTGTTCTCACTCTGTACGACAAACATACGATAAAACGATCGTAAATTAAATGCACAAGTTGGCTGACTTCAAAATGGATTTTTGGCAGAAAAGTGTGCGTGTTTCAACTTGAAACCCAATAAAAATAAACGTCAGTTCGATTAAAAAGCAAGGATCAAAGTTACTGCATCATAAGATGTTGAACATTTGAAATAGAGCGAGTACAAATATAGAATGCAATAAATGAGATTGATAAATTCTATTTGATTTCTTTCACCAAGTTAACTTATTTGTATATAAAGCTGCATCCACACTATACCTAAAAAAACAACATAAATGAATATAAGGCGTACCAACTAATGCTTACACAGTATACAATTAATAACTAACAGCTGTTGGTACACCTGACATTAATTTGTGTCTACTTTAGCCAAAATAATATAATTAATTGCAAAATTTATTTGTCTGCCAAATTGATTTATTAATAATTCTGATATTAAAAAATAAGAATGATATTAAGATCTTAATTTAAAAAAAAAAAAATTGTTGGTGTGTCGGTATATAAGATTCTTAACTGTGGAAGCGAGAAATAAGCTTTAAATGTTAGTCAAGATTGATGCGGTGAGATTATGCTCGTTTGTCTTCGTGTTGGCTTTGAGGGTAAACGTGATTTTTACAGTACTGCTCGGATCTTTTAATCCGAACGGTCTGTAATGCTCGGGTAAATCGGTCTACCTATTTCAAATAGAATACTTCTTAAATTGGATCCAAGATACAAAGAGTCTTACAATCAGTTTAGATACGGTACTGTTTATCAACTAAATTGAAAGTTTTACAGAAGAAGTTGTAAGTTGACATCTATTATTGTGTAGATTTCACACACATTTAGATCTATTCTTATCTAAATTTTATTCATGATTTTGAAAATTACAAGATTGAGTCAACTCGAAAGATCGTCTATTGAAATCCCGACTGTATTAAAGTCCCGACAACCAAAATCTCGACTATATCGAAATCCCGACTACCTTAAAAATGTTATTGTATTTATAATAATAAAAGACACTGTCGGGATTTCGATATAGTCGGGATTTTGATTGTCGGGATTGCCACCGAGTTAGTGTAGGAGAAGCATGACTTAAGTAATGAAAAGTACTCAGAAAATGAAATATTAAAACTTTCTATAAAAAGAAATTAAAGTCCTGATTTGCATTGTTTATTAACAAAATAATTAAGCAATTGTATTTCAGCTCATATAAGAAAAATGTCATCGGGTAATAAATTTCATAAATTATCGTTCGAAAAGTAATTTCGTTGAAATGTTCCGTTTATAAATAACTATTGAACGATTCATCGACGTTAAGCAAATGAAACTCGTGTTCGATCAGTGTAATTCTCGTAAACTTTTATAGTTCCAATTGGAACTTTAAAACTATGTGCAAACTAAATGACATGTGAATCTTTTAATATTACAGCTTCAAACGAGTTTCTCTCTTCGTCGCTCCTAATGCAATCTTAATCGCTGCAACGAATTCACCTGTTTGCAGGAAAATCCGGGTTCTCATCAAATATACAACAAGGTAACGTCCGTTCCAAAAGGACCCCCACATGAATGAACGAGCTGCAGATCAAAGCCCGAATTGATCCCCAAAAACCAGATTCAATTCTTCCCATGCATACTTCATCCTACATCTTCTATACAAAACAAAAACTATTGATTGTTTTAACTGGAATTCAAAAAGTAATTTATTAAAATAAATGTTAGACAATAAACGTTTCACGTTTTAATGTTTTATTTGCAACCAAAGAGCCAATTGACCGCAATCTTCCGCTTTAATAACCGCAGTTTATGATTAGGTCAGAAATATAGATATATATTCGGATTTATAAATCTAATTAATTTCTAATTGTTGCATATTAATATACTTTTAGTCATTATTTATGTTACATAACATCTGATTTATTATTTCATGTTAAAAACTAATTTTTTTTTGTTCTATTTCTTCAGAACATAGTTTGATTAACTTTTATAGTTTTCCAATTTGGTTTTGTTGAATTGTCAAGAAATCTAAGAGTATTTAACTTTAGTCAAAACCCTATTTTTAGCATAATTTGGATAATCTCTCCGGGCTATTAGAGATTATACAAAATGAAAACATGTTTCATTCGATAAATTTTCAAAAATGTTTTTGATCAATTGTATACAGATCGAAGAAAATCATATGTTGATTTTTTTGCGTATATGAAGAGAATCATTTAATAGAATATGAAACTGTATGAAAAGAAACAGAAAGTTAGATGGAAATTGCTTTGGGTGCTTATTCAGAGTAATGAATTTGGTGTAGAGAAACGAACTTTTTGAAAAAAAAAATAAATAAAAATGTAAAACGGAAAGTTTCCGCTGAGTTTAATTATAATGTTCGGCGATATTTAATTTACCGAAATTAGGTTTTTTTCCGCGGAAGTCGTCTTCCGGCTAGGCCCTCCTGGCCAACTTAATAATAACAGAAACGGTGGCCAGAATTTATACGAGCAATAAAGTTTAATACGCAATAATTTTTGTCCCTGAGAAAATTTAATTAAACCCAAAATGGAATGCAAGTAATAGCAGCAGGAACAAGTGAAGAAGAAGTAGAAGAAGAACAAGAATGAGATGATGCTGTAAGTGTAGAGGTGTGTGTGTGTGAATGTTGGAATTGCGGCATCCCCTTGTGCGTGATCTTTCTGGGGAGAAGGAAAGTTGAAACTCGGTTACGAAGTTTTTGGGGTGGTTGAGAGGCGATGTTACGACGCGATCCACCCCCGCGGCTTAACTGCTTACTTATTCTGACATTAACGCGGAAAGGGAGGCTCCGGCCACTGTAAAACCCTACATTTTATATCCGCTTTTACCGGAAGTAAATATTTACCGGTCCGGCAATCAGCGAATATTTGCAACGAAATCGTCCAAATTCCCTCTCCGCTCAAAATGTTTTATATATAGTTTTTTTTCTACAGTTTTCTTCTTACATTCTCCACGCATCGCTTCCATCCGATAACGATGTTGACCTTTCGGTTACGGAAAGAGATATCAACTGATAGTGCGTGTTTCGAGCTGGTGAAACTATCAAGTTAAATCATTTTACTTCTTGCACCTTGTCTCAAACTATTTCGATAAAAATTATCAAATTACTTATTTAGAACGTTAGATTAATTAGTCATTATTGTATAGTTGATCCGAGGAACAATTGGACTCTGATTAGTGTGCTCTTATCTTATATTTCTAAATAATATAGAGAGACACACAATTAACTTTGTCAATTGAAGATACGTTATTTGCATCCTGTTTATTATTGACGCATCCGGTGATTATAGTCCAAATTCGTTATCAACAAAATGCACTATTTTGATAAAATTAAATTTAAATTTCATAGAAAAATGATACGTAAGAAATTTATTTAGTTTATTTTTATATACAGTGGAATCTCGCTTTACGAGTTTAATCCGTTCCAAAATTTTCGGATTTTTACTCGTATAGTGAAACATATTCAAAAATACACATATGTATTAAAAATGATGTAGAAGGTGCGCAATCCGGTACTTCTCTCCTCATCGTCACTCGTTATGCGAAACTTCGCTCGTTAAGCGAGGTTTTACTGTATTTTAAATTAACTTTAAATCAAATTTTAGATTGATTTTAATTTGAAGATTTCAATTTCAAGAGTTTTTAAATTAAATTTTCTTTTCAATTTTTTATAGAATCATTTTTGCAAATATTTAGTTTGACTTTTATTTGCTTTTTCTTTAGACTGAGACTTATATAATAAAAGAAATACAAAGATTAAGTTTGACTTGAATTTGAAGATTTCTTTTGAGTTTCTTTATGGAACTGTAGCAAATTTGAAGACTTTTCATGTTAAATTTTCTTTTCAATTATTTATAGATTAAAAGCAAATTTTGCAAACATTTTGTTTGACTTTTATTTGCATTTTTTTTGTAGACTGAAACTTATATTTATTTAGAGAATAATTAAATAAAAATGCAAAGTTTAAGTTTGACTTGAATTTGAAGATTTCTTTTGAGTTTCTTTATGAAACTATACCAAATTTGAAGACTTTTCATGTTAAATTTTCTTTTCAATTATTTATAGATTAATTGCAAATTTTGGAAACATTTAGTTTGACTTTTATTTGCTTTTTCTTTAGACTGAGACTTATATAATAAAAGAAATACAAAGATTAAGTTTGACTTGAATTTGAATATTATTTTTGAGTTTCTTCATAGAATTGTAACAAATTTGAAGACTTTTCATTTTAAATTTTCTTTTCAATTATTTATAGATTAAATGCAAGTTTTGTAAACATTTAGTGCCCAATTAAAAGACTTGTATAGTCTTGATCAATTGTTAAGATCGATTATGTAAGATTTTTCAATTTTCCTTAAATTAGATTGGAAAATGTCTATTATGACAGATATTACTAATTAAGACAATTTATTCATCATAATTTATGAAACATCAGTTTTTATTATTTTTCCATGGTAAGGATTTGAAAAAATCATTAGAATATAACCTTAAATGTAGCTGTCACTTCATTTAAATGTCATGGATAATGTCAAACTCCATGACTACCAATTGTTACTTATGTAATTAAAAAAAAATATATTGATTATTACCCTAAATATTGACAGGTAGATTTGAAAATGTCTATTATGAAAGGTATTACTAATTGAGAAAATTAACCCATTTCTTTTTCATTATAATTTATGAAACATCAATTATTCAATGTATATTGTAAGTAAGTTTATTTCGATTAATTTAATA